GGCGGCCGCGGCGGGCAGCACGTCGGCCGGGCTGGCGTAGGGCGAGCCGGTGGGGTTGGAGTTGGCCACGGGCCCCGCCACGTTGGCGTAGCTGATGTTGAGGCAGCTGCTGCTCTGCGGGTCTTCCTGTACCTTCTGCACGATGGCGCTCACGGCCTTGTGCACCTGCTCGGGCTCGCCGCTCACGGTCACCACGCGCTCCTGCAGGTTGATGCCCTCGGGCTTCTGCGACAGCTGCACCCAGGCGCCGGACTGTTCCATCACCGCCTTCACGGTCGCTCCCCCCTTACCGATGATCAGTCCCGCCGTGCTGTTGGGGACGATGAGCTTGGCCTGCGTAGAGGAGAAAGAGACAGAGTCTGCGCCGGGGAGAACGGGGCGCGCAGCCGTCTCAAATCAATTCTGGGTTGTTTTGTCTTTCTTTCCTCCAGTGTCCATCATCAGGCCCACCGCGGTCCCCTGATAAGCCGGGACAGCCCTACTGGTTCCTAAAGGAAAATTTGGAACTATCTGGCGGGATATGCCTGTAATCCCAGCACTCCAGGCAGGAGGATGTCAAGTTTGAGGTCAGCCTGAGCTATAAGTACATAAGCAAGACCCCATCTCAGGGGAAAACAGGAAGAAAAAAAAATGCAGATCTTAGCAATCCCCCAGCCACCCTGGTCCACGTTCCTGGGACCTCGAACGCTGCTTCTTCCGTGTCAGGTAAAGGTTTATTAATGGCGTACCCACTAGGAGCCCATCTTGAGTCGGCTCCAAGCCTGCGCCATCCCTTCCGACTTCTGTCCTTGTGTGCTCTGGCTCCTAGTCTCCCCTCCAAGGGCTTCGAATCTTACTTTACAAATTTCTCTCTCTCCCTCCCTCCTTCCCCTTCTTCTCCACTCTCCTCTCCCCTCTTGTAGCCCAGGCTGGCTTGAAACTCATGGTCCTCCTGACTCAGCCTCCTGATTTTCCCCTCAAACTCTTGTGTCAAAATCCACACCGCAGAATCCGACTGGCACCTCAGAACGTGTTTGTGATTGGGGGCACGATGTTGGTGTGGTTTTGAATGCCGGTAGTTCTGGCACACACAGGATACTCAAACCAGAGGGCCATGAGTTCAAGAACAGCCTGGGCAACATGGTGAGTTTGGGTGAGCCTGGCCTACACCTCGAGACTTTAAAAACAAAACAAGACAGCAACAACAAAGCCAAACAAACCCCAAAACCAAAAGAAGGAGTCTGGGGAACCACCCTGTGATCTAGCTGATTGCTTTCTGGAATCTGGGTATGAACTGTGATATCATTTCTTCCACTGTGGTCCCACCTGAAGAGTTACATGTTAAAACCCACCTCATTTACAACAAATCGCCTGCCTTTTATTTCTCTTGTATTTAGTTTCTTCCCCATTTTTTATTTTGTTTTGAGACAGAGTCTTACTAGTGTCTTTGGACTTGCTGCGTAGACCTGGCTGGCTTTGAACGCACAGAGATCTGTCAGCTTCTGCCACTCCGGTGCTGGGATGTCAATTACGAACTATATCCATCTCTTGTACAGTTGGTTTAACTTTGTGTGTGTGTGTGTGTGTGTGTGTGTGTGTGTGTGTGTGTGTAGGTCAGAGGGCGCTCACGTCACTGTATCCACCGTTCTTTGTGGGTTTCACTGGGAGGGCTCAGGCTGTCAGACTTGGTAGGACCAAGCACTTTTGACCCACCGAGACTTCTCCGTGGCCTGGTCTTCTGTGTTTAAAAAAGATGCATAAGAACAATAAAGTGTGAGGTGCATCCATGTAACGGAGTAGTATTGGTGAGTAAATATGAAGAGCTGGCATAGCTCACGCTGTAACATGGGTGCCCTTAGAAAACAAGCTGAGTGGAAGAGGCCAGACATCAAAGGCCACGTGGTTTCATTTACGTGACTGTCCAGAATATGCAAATCCACATGGACGGAGAGAAACTGGTTAGGGGGCTGGAGAGATGGCCCAGCGGTTAAGAGCGCTTGCTGCTCCTTCAGAAGACTCAAGTTTGGTTCCCACATCGAGTCGCTCACAACTGCCTGTAACTCCAGGCCCAGGGGATCCAACACCTCTGGCTCCCACAGGCACCTGCATTCATGTGCACATACCCATATGCAGACGCACAGACCTACATATAATCAAAAAATAATAAAAAATAAAATCTTTTTTTTTTTTTTAAACAGGGTCTCACTATAGCTCTGGCTGTCCTGGAACTCACTCTGTAGATCAGGCTAGACTAGAACTCCACAGAGATCCGCCTGCCTCTGCCTCCCAAGTGCTGGGATTAAAGGTGTGTGCCACTGTACCCGGTTATAAAAATGGATCTTTATGAAATATTTATTTTTATTTTTTTTGTGTGAGTGTTTTGCCTGCATGTATGCATGCGTAGGATCCTGTCTCCAGAAGCCAGTGAAGGACAGCAGATCCCTGGGAAGTGGAGTTATAGACGGTTTGTTAGATGCCAGGTGGGTGCTGGAATTGAGCCCAGGTCCTCTAGCAGAGAGGCAAGAGCTCTTCCCAGCTGAGCCAGTGCTCCGGCTCCAAGGACTGAGTTTGAATCCCCAGCACCTGTGTAGAACGCCAGGCATGGCTCTACGTGCTGTGACCCTAGCGCTGGGGACGGACGGGTAGACCCCAAGAGCTTCCTGGCGAGTCATCCCATCCAGCGGGCCTCTAGTTTTGGCAGTAGACACTCAAGGGTCTCTTGAGGCAGACTCCCAGCAATCTGCCGTGGCCTTAGCATGCTCCTCAGCCCACATGAAACATAAAATAGGTTAGTGGGTGCCAGAGGGAGGAGATAGGGCCCGGGGTGACAGCCACAGGAATAGTAGAAATCTTCTGGAGTTCGATGGTGGCTCTGGTTAGCCACATGTTTTTATACTTAAAAATATATTTTATGATTTTGTACGTATGGGTGTTTTGCCTTCATGTGTATGTGTACCACATGGGTACCCTGGTGTCTGCAGAGGCCAGAAGAAGGTATCAGATCCCCTGGGACTGGAGTTACAGATGGCTGTGAACAGCCATGTGGGTGCTGGGAATCCAACCTGGATCCTCTGGAAGAGCAACCAGTGCTCTGAGCTGCTCAGCCATCTCCCCAGCTCCCTCGGTTTGTTTTGGTTTTTT